GCAGGAAGCCCTCGCATTGACTTTAATCAGTTATGAATCAACTCCTTAAGTACCAGCTTTTAGGTAATTTGGAGGCTCTGTAATAGAAACCAAGGCTACATGGTGCAATGCAATGCTGTGCAGATGCACAAGTTAGTATAAATATCAGAAGCAGTCTTGTCAAATTTAATGTGATCCTCTGCCCAGGCTAATATATGCTGAAGAGAAGTACCTAGCTTGAATAAACAAGGTTCACACTGAATCTTGCCATGCAGACAGACCCATAATCTGGGCAAGTCCTTAAAATATACTTTATTGGATATATTACAGAAGAGGAGGTGTCACCACCAAGAGCCTGGTTAACCCTTTCCGGGACCCCCAACTGCTGCGGCTTTGTCTGGTGAGCAAGGCAAGGCTCCAAAGCCCTGGCGACAGCTGCAGGACCAGAGGAGGATTAACCTGGCTCTCGGCAATGCCACCTGACACCTTCCTGCCTCCATTCAGGAGCTTCCTTTTTCTGAGTGCCAGGGACTCCTGTGTCACATTCAACAGCTATCTGTGCCACTTGTGCTGGTCGGGCACCTCTGTTATAGCCACTAGCTATGGAGTCTTGGCCTTTCAGTGATAGCTGTGTCTCCTCATATGTTTTTAACTCTGGAGATTTTGGTTTAGTCCTGATTTGGCAGCAACATGGTATTGACCACCATGTAATGAAAATACACTATATGGAGTATGGGTAGGAAACACAGGGTGCATTTACACATGCACTTTCCTGTGGAGTTGACTAATTAGCTCCGCAGTAAAGCATCACAGTCTACACGTGTGCCAGTATCAGGGCACAGTAAACTAATTAACTCCCCCATAGGATAGTATTGTTGGGGACATTATTATTTTACAGTGGAGTACTTTACTACACCGAAACAAACATTTAGACAGTGATGGGGGTTTAAATTGTGCCCAGTCAGTCCAGCCAGCTGGGGGCTTGCTCCACTCCAGCTCAAACTGCTGCTGTCCTGAGTACATGTGATGATGCTATGCCCGGCAGTAGTTGTCTCTGGCACAAACTACTCCAGAGTTTATTGTGTCACTTTAATTTCACATGTAGATGTACCCGCAGTGTTTTCAATTGGAAGCCGTACCTTGAAGCAATCTATATAATCACCCTGCCACCTTTTAGCTTTTTGAAATGTAGGCTCTGCCCACATTTCAAATATATGTTCTCTGCTCATTTTTAAACTGATACCTAGTTTACACTTAATTTCTGTTGAGTATGATTTTATGTTTTTCCTCTTCCTCATCAGCATAGCTATGCTGTCTGTGCCTCCCAGCATAGAAATACTTTTATTCTACAAAATGTGCTTTTGTCCATAGAGTTTACTTGCTTTGGACAACTGACTTTAAACAGTAACAGCAAAATTATTTTTGGCTCTTAAACTGCATCAGCACTAGTTGAGGCCTGGTGGCATAGACGCGCTAACAGAACTGTGTCAGCAAATCCTTGTAAGTGTAGGCAAAATGTAATTGTTTTGACCTTCATTTTACAAAAGAACAATGCTTTGCCTTGTAAACTCATTAAATCACATAGTAATGGCTTTAAGCCTGAAGTGGGACTTGTACTTCTTCAAAGAATCCCTAATGGAAAAAAGAGCATGAAGCTTTGTTTATAAGGGGGTTAAAAAAAGATGTCAGCTGCAGAAAGAGGTTTTCCACAAAGAAACCCAAACCCTTCTAGCTAAAGAATAATTTGAAATGGTAGTAACTGAGGAAAGAGACTATTAAGAGAAGGTTATTTTAGTAATATACTAATATGTGATCTGAGCTTATAAATAAGCAATTATAATTGTATGTATTTATTCATATAAATTTTATATATCTTAAGAAGTAACAAGAATAATGACAGATGTATTATTGTATCATTTTTAAATATCATCATGAGATCATTCATTGCATTCTTTTAAAATATGTTCTTAAAGAGGAAAGAGATTTCTGGAAAGGTGTCAGACCACGATATTGGTGGTTATCTTGAATTGAAGTATGCTATAGTAAAGCAGAGATAAAGCTTTAATTTATTGCAGTGATTCTCAACGAGGGTGCCATGACATGCTGGGCTTCCTTGAGATATTTTCAAGGATGTTGTGTGATGCAATGCCAAACTAGCACTGTTAGGTGTGCAAACATGAATCACAAGATAAACCTGGAGATTTCAAAAATGAATCCATACTGTTAAAAAGAAATCCACCCTGTTGTGTTCTTTCTGACTTCTTTGCAACAGAAGAATTGCTCTATTATTTATCCCTAGTCAAAAAAAGTGGAAACTAAGAAATGGAATTTTTCAAGGGTTTTTTTTTTTGGTTTATCAGAGTGCCTTGAGTCTAAAAAGGTTGAGAATCATTGATCTATTTAAATGCTTCAAGGCTTCTTTCATGTAGTGGAACAGCTAGGCATCAGAATAACATATGATTGTTCAAGCATGGAAAACATTTTGTAGTATCTGAATTGTTTAATATTATTTAGCAAGGGAGAAAAGGTGTTCTCCCTCTTCTTTATGGCAACCCTCTTAAGTGCTTTTTCTGCAAGCTGAATATGCCTAGCTCCTTCAGCCTCTCCTCTTATGACTTGTTTTCCAAACCCTTTATCAACTTTGTTGCCTGCTTCTGGACCCTCTCTAAGTTCTCCATGTCCTTTTTAAAATGTGGAGCCCAGAACTACACACAGTACTCTAGATGAGGCCTAATCAGTGCCGAGTAGAGAGGGACTATTAGATCCTGTGTCTTGCACCTGATGCTTCTATTGATGCATCCCAAAACTGCATTTGCCTTTTGTGCAGATGCATCATACTGCAGGCTTATAGTCTGTGATCTACTAAGACAGCTAGATCCTTCTCCATCATGCTACCATCCACTTAGTTATCATCCATTTTGTATTTGTCTTTTTAATTATTCTTCCTGAAATGTAGTACCTTGCATTTGTCAGCATGAAGTTCATCCTGTTAGATTCAGCCCAGATTTTAATTTGTCAATATACATTCCCACCCTCTAATGCATTCACATTCCTAGTTTTGTGTCATTTGCAAACTCACTCCTGAAGCTTTCTATGCCAGCATCTAAATCATTAATAGACATGTTGAACAGCAGTGAGCCTAGGTCAGACTGCTGTCAAACTCAACACAACACTTCCTGTCATTCTGACATTGATCCATTTACAGTTACCCTTCTCTTGCAGCTTTTAGCCAGTTGTCTATCCACCTTATAGCAGTTTGGTTTTGGATATGTTTATAAGAAGGTCATGCAGCACCTTGTCAATTACCTTGCTAAACTCCAGATACACTTCCCCTTCATTCACCCAAGTAGTTACTTGGTTAGAGAAGATCAAGTTTATTTTACATGATTTTTTCTCAGTGAATCCATGCTGGTTGTTTGTGATCAGTCTTTCCTCTTCCAGATGCTTACAAATTGCCTTCCTTAGGATATTCTCCAGTAACTTCCTGGGTATTGAGGTGAGGCTATGCAGTCTGTAGCTCCCCAGGTCTTTCTTTTTGCCTTTTGAGGGGCACTATGTTGGCCCTTTCCTAGTACTCCAGTAACTGGCCCATCTCCCACAATTTTAATACTTCAAGGGCTTTAATATTTCCTCTACAGTTCCTTCAGTAGCCTGGGTTCACACCAGGCTCTGCTGTCTCAGATGCAACAAAAGCCCTCTACCTGTCTCTTGTGATATCTCATCCCTCAGCTTGTCTCCTTCCTTATCCATATAATGCTTATTGTCTGGCTGCAGATTAATTTTTTTGTGAAGACTGAGGCAAAGTAACTGTTGAGTAGCTCAGCCTTCTTTGCATCTTCTGTTAAGAGTTCCCCCTGGCTAGTTAACAGTGGGCCCACAGCTTTCTTGGTCTTTCTTTTCTGGCCAACATGTTTATAGACTCTCTTCTTGTTGTCTTTAAACTTCCTCGCCAGGTACAGCTCGTTCTTTATCTTTGCCTTCCTGATTTTGACCCTGAAGGGTCTTGCTATTTCCTGATATGCTTCCTTGGTGATTCACCCATTCGTCCATTGCCTGTATGCCTTCCTTTTGTATTTCAGGCATCTTACAAGGTCCTCGTGCAACCGCATTGGTCTCTTAGTATTCTTCTTGTGCTTCCACCATATTGGAATGGATTCTTATTAGGCTTCCAATACCATGCCCTTTAAAAGTTCCCAGCCATCCTGAGCACCTTTATCCTTTAGTCTGCCTTCCCCTGGCGCCATACCTTTTTACCCCTTGATTTGGATGGAATCCATTTTTTTGGAAATCTAGGATCCTAATTTTGCTGACCTCATGCTTTCCATATCTCAGGACCTGGAATTCTAAAAGTAGGGCTGGAAGGAGCTTCCAGAGGTCCTCCATTAGTTCTTCCCTATTGGTCAGGAGTGACCACTGACCTGTAGGTGCCCCACCCTCTCCAGCTGTCAGTCCATGACAGTAGCGTTCTGAGGTTTGGAAGCAGAGTCTCAGCAGA